ATAAGCTTATTTATATGAAGTACAATTGGATAATGTATATAATAATGAATAATGTATTAATGTAAAATCTGCACAGAAGCAGACATTAGGTACACAAATTCGGTAAAATGTAGCATTACAAAAATCTCTATGTTATAAATGTCACATCAATATTACTATTAGCCAATTCGATTGAATGTTATACATAAATTTTTTATGTATTTTAAATCAGTATACAACTTTTGCTTTTATATGAATTAATGCGCACTAGTGCGTCCAACCTAATTCGCTATATTATTATATCATTTAAATTAAAAAATAGTTCAAAACATTACGATGTTATTAGTACAAAAAAATATTTTCTTTTTTGGCAAAATATTAATTTAATAAAAAAATAATTTTTTAATTTAGGTTCCTCCAATATAAGATTAACTTTAATCTCGGTTCAACTTACTATTTCTCTTTTCTAATTCTAAAAATTAAAATTATTCTAAGAATTAGAAAAAGATAAATAGAAAGTTAAACTAAAATTAATCTTGTATTGGTGGAACGGAGCTCAGAGAGGAACTTTGTAATGAGGCATTTCTTTCTTATGATCGACAATGAAAAATTAGATGTAAGAATTAAACATCTGCGTGATTTGATTATTTAACTGTAAGAGAAATTTTGTTCTTCATCGATACTTCAAAGCACTTACATATATTGGTGCTGCGAATATCGATTACTAAAAGCCAAGATAGGAGAAGACCGAGCTCTTAATTACGTATTGTTATTTTTAAAGCTGAGAGATCTTTGACATGATCGATTTCTATATTGAAAAGCAAGCCTAAAGTTACGTAAAAGCTTATTTTGTTACGTCTCCCCAAAGTGTTGCGCTTGACGTATGCTGGCAGAATACTCTCCGGCGTACTTTCTATCGCGGAGATAAGAACACGAAAAACCTATTATTTCACGGAAAGTACGTCGAGGCATATTGTGCTAGCGTGTACGTCGGATACAACAAAGTATAATATATATTAAGAAGACAAGTTTCTTTCTCGCTGGCTAAAACTGTTCAGCGATTGGTTAACTTTCTGCAAAAACTCAGTAGAACAGATCACTATGTACAAACTTACAATACTCTCACAATATACAACGTTCATAAAGAAATACTGGTAAACATTTTTGAAGTTAAGGAAAAGTTGTCCTTAAACGTTTTCTACGGGATTGACGAAGAGCGCTGTTACGGCAAATAATATGAACACTAAGCCTCCAATAATAGTCACTAAAAAAAAAAATTGAAAATATTAGACATTGCTAATAAACTCTTAATATTGTGAACTTAATGTTGTTACCTGTTCTCACTGATATTCTTTGAGCTATCATACGTCCTCCTATAACTGCCAAACCTGTACAAAACGAATGACCAAGTATTCCACCTAGAACAACTCCATAAACATCCTGAAAATAGAGAGCATGATCATAATTAAACGCTGATATATGTAAAGATGCTCTGTTGCAGTAAAATCGTTACAATAAAGTACCTCTCTTGCTGCAAGGATAATGGTCGTTAACTGAGAACGATCACCCCATTCCGCGAGAAAGGTAAGGGTGAATGCTTGTAAGAATATCCTGGAGAGCAACATGAGTGCACTGCTTTTAGTGGTTTTGCGTATTACTCCGGTTTCTGGATCCTGAACTAAAGTACTTGCTGTCTCCTTTTCGTACTGAAAGCGATGACATTTTAAAGATTATTTAATCTCCTGCAAAAACGACACTATTTAGATAAGTATTGTAATTTTTTTATTACATTCCAAAAATAAATTCTTTCAGTAGAGTATCTCTATAATTCTTTTTATAATTGAATAAAGATATTTTTAAAGAGGGATGATAAAATGAAATAGTTTCTCCATTCTTCATACATAAGATTCTTGTGAGCCATGTAAGATATTATGCTATATCTGATGGATTTAAAAACAAATTTGGCAAAATTTGTAAGTTTACCTCGTCATCTCTTTTTCTCAAGTCAGATTGAACTTCTTCTAGCTCTTCTTGTGCTTCTGTCGGTGACATATAATATCCATCTCGTAACATTTTTAATCCGAACAAAGCGAACAGAAGAGTGGAGATATAATAGGTATAAGCACGAGGAATTATTGTGGCTGCATATCCGAACACCACTGGAAGTACAATAAAAGATATTTCATGTTAATGAATGTTATGATTATCATTTGCAACAGATATATATATCAGTAAATTAAAATTATTATAAACTATTATAGCATTACTATAGCTAAAATGTTGATCTTATATTAATGATATTTAAAAGATATTCAGGGAATCAAGATGAAGAAAAAAATGTATTTTACATGTACAATCAGTAATATCTGTGAAATGATTAGATATTATTCTATCATAGTGATACCTGAGAGAATGGTCATCAATGCAAGAGCGCTTATTGCACCAATGAATACAGTCAATCGTGGATGCTTCATTGCCATAATAGCGGCGATGAAGAATGTTTTGTCTCCCAATTCAGATACCACGATGACTGACAAAGATGCTACGAAGGCGTGCAGGAAGCCCATTCCAGTCTGTGGCTTCTCGGACACGAACTCCGGCAATTTCTAAAAATATTTTATATGTTAAAAGGACTTTACAGAGATATAAAACATCTTTTTAATAATGCTTGTAAAGTTTGTAACTTTGTAACATGAAATTCAATTTTGAAGAGTGCTTTAGGGGATTTTTAAGGGATTTAAAGATTTAACTTGGGGAGCTTTAAAAATTTTCAACCTTTCAATTTCTTCAAAATTTGAAAATTCATTTCGAAATTTTAGAACTGGATATCTTTTGGAATTAAAAATTTAAAGGATTTACTTTGAATCTTTTCCGATTTGATGAAATTCTCGTAAATAAAGTCTTTGTATACGAATCATGAACGATCGTAAGAACTTGAAGGACCGCCGAGAGAAGTCTTATCTTAGAATACTTACTGTCGATGTCGCGAACAGTTCAATTTTCTCATCATAACGCGGTTCAATCTCACAAACAACAGCCGAGAGACAAAACGTTAAAATTAGAGCGCAAGCATAAATTAAATGTTTAGCTCCCATCGTACAATACTTCCGTAACATCAATATAACTTCAAAGGACTTTGCGCGTGACAAGCGTTGCGCTTGAGATAACCTCCCAAAAAAAATCGTCCTTGTACCAAATCAAATCGCGATCGCCATGTTGTTTTTCTTCGCGATCCGTTAAGAAAAGAAGAGGTTAGGTTTCCTATGTCAGAACGGTTCGTCAGATGACGGAAACGGAAAGGCTGCCACGCTGCCAGCACTAATTAAGGTCCATCCACATGGACTCTCTCACGGAGATTGATACGAAAAATGATACAAAATATTTAAAAAAAAAAAAGAAATTAATAGAGA